AAAGGGGCTAACTTTGGATCCCTCCCATAAAAACTGTATACAATGCAGGATAAAACTTCCTAACTGGGAAAGAAATTAGAGGAAGGCTCTGTGGTGGCATGACACTAACATATATTTAAAAAGGGAAAAAATTGAGTGAGGAGAGGTATTGGGGGAACACAAATCGCGGGGAGCGGGGGGGGGGGGAATGTAAAGGAAAAAAATAGCAATGGATCACCTAAGCAAATCCAGTTACATCGATATTTATATGTTTATCATTGGATAGAAGTCTTCAAGGAAGCAGGCTTATGTCTCACAAATGAGTTTTCCAAGAACCAAAGAGGGAGGACTCACTCCATTTGCCACAACTTTCTCAAACCATTTAGAAATATATTAAAGCCTTTCTCTCTGTCAGGTAGACACTGTCTAGAAGGAGAGGTTGGTTCAAAGTTGCCCAATCTGAGGCATCAAGGAAAACTTTCCAACAGGATAATTGTTCATCAGGGCAGGTCAGAGAGGTTAAGTTTCAATGGAAGGGTTTATAGGGTTGCCAGATTAACACATTAACAGGGACCTGATACTGGATAATAAAAGTGTGTGTGAGTATATTTTCCTAATTTGTTCCACTTGATTTTTTTTTGTTATTTGAACGTGGAATTCTGTGCTTCTGTTGTTCATGCTTAAGATACTAGGCTTAATGATAAGGGCACACCTCCTCTGACATCACAAATGCACATCTGTAGATCTGAGATTCTAGCCCTGAAATCTCAGGTGCTGGGATATTCCTGAAGTGGCAGCTGACAGCTTTATTACATAGGAGAAAATAAGCATCCCAGGATGCTCCTGCCCTAGTTCACTTATGGACCCCCAAGCCCCCCATCAGGCAACATAGGCTGACTTCCGGCGGAGCTCCATGGGTGAAATGGGGCAGCAGCATGATAAGACACTGCTGCCGCCAACACAAAAACCTCCCCGTGTCCCGTAAGGGATAATGGAGCTCCCGCAGACATCAGCCATGCAGCAGCACTTCCCCACGTGTGATGGGGAAGTGTCAGCTGCCAGCCAGGGTGCCGGGATTGCTCTGCTGTCACCCCACTGCTGCCCCGATTCGCCATAGAGTTATGGTGAATCTGAACACTGGACCTCATCCATGTGATGAGGTCCCAAAAGGGGGAGAAGCATGGTCCCTAAATATGAACAGCTGGTTGGATTCCTGGCTCTCTTTCACTCTAAACATGTACAGCTCTATGATTCCACTTGAATTGCCATAACTTCATCCTATGTAATAAAAACATTGCAGTTAAAGAGCATCTTAACACTAAAGTTGAGTAATGAGAACTTGTTCCTGGCCAACTCAGAGAAACAAGAACTTTGAAGCAAGCTAAAAGTAATTAGTGCACACCTCCAAACAACAACCTAAACTGGAACTTCTGTAATGCAAAGCTCCAATCTTGCATTTTGTGGAATTAAAAAAGGACCCTTTTAATTCCACTCCAGGTCAGATCCCACATATAAGAATATTTCAGCATTTAGCAACATGTCCTAATTCTCTAACTCCTTTCTCCACAGCCACAGGGAACAAATCCAACCTCTGGTGACGTACCATTGATTTAAAATTCTCAAATAGATCAGTGACTGAAGATCCCAACCAGGCATGAACTTCAAATGGCTCTGCATCCTGTCTCTTGTCTTCATTATGGGATTCAGCACCCTGGCAGAAGCCCGGTTCCGTCTACCACCTCGGCGTCCACAGCGTCCACAGCGTCCACGCCCATCACGTAACTGATTAATTTTAATTGCTCTCAGCCATGGGTATTCTAGATCTGCTATTTAGTTATATGTGTGTAATTAAAAATGTCTCATAGCCCCACCCTCCAGCCCATCTTAACAGCCAGTCACAGGATTGAGTGAAAGATCAATTCAGCTTCCAATCACTTGCGACTTCATCAGATGGCCAGTGGCAGGAGGTGTGGTAAATCCAGCACCCCACACCTCACATTGCCTGCATCACTGGGAAAGTGATCACACAAGGGGAGGGGAGAAGAACAGTCACAGTCCTATTTTGTCATGGCGGCATGCCAGTTCCGCCCTACTTCACCCACGGAGCCGGTACAATGTTGTCTAATAGTAGTCAGCCAGCTCCATGGATGACCAGGGCTAGATCAGTGTATGCCACCTAGACCGTATAATGAGGTCATAACAGGAGGATCATTCAACTCCTAGTAGAAATAATGCAAAAAGGTCATGCAACAGGGACCTGCTTCTGATTACTTGCTGGTGGGAAGGAGGGTATGAAAACATTATTTGCCTTGTATTTTCCTTGTAGAACACATCTCATTTTCTTGATCTGTGTTAGCTGTTAAAATGGACTGAAGTGGCATTCATGTAGGTTAACATCAAGGCTACATAGGCCCCATCTACACTGATGTAATCCAGTTGAAATGAGATAATCTGGACTCAGAAACTGGATTATACAGCAGTGTAGCCCCAGCCACAGCCTTACAGAACAGGGAACACTCACAGTCCTATAACTCCAGATTAAAAATCTGTAATTACAATATTTAATACCAGCCATTGTTTTTAAAACTCTTCAGAAGACCTTATATTGGTTTGAGTTGGTGTTTTGTGCCGATTCTGTAAAGCTAATCCTCTCCCCATACATTTCTTAATGGCAAAACTGAAGCAGAACAAAAAGAAAACAGGGCAATCCCTCAGCTCCCTATTTCAATTATTTTCATAGCCTCAGAAGCCTCTCTGGGTACATCTACATTGTAGAATTAATACAGTTTGACACTACTTTAACTGCCATGGTTCAATCACAGAATTTGGAGTTTGGTGAGGCATCAGCACCTTTTGGCAGAGAAAGCTAAAGATCTTGTAAAATGAAAACTCTCAAGCTACTCAGATGTTGGAATAAATCATGTTGAAAGAGTTGGAGAAGAGTTACATATTTAGCCCCATCCTATGTTGCATGGCTCCTACCAATCTTCATATGCACAGAGATGTCTGAGGTAGTTTAAAAGATACCTGGAAATATCCGTACCTTCCAGGAAGATCCACATCTTTCCAGGTATGTGTGTGGGGACTCCCTCTGGGGGCAGTCCCCATAGTCATCCCCCCTCAGTGGGTTTAGGCAGCCTAGGGAAGAGGGATGTCAGTGCCACCCCTCCCTCCTTGGCCCTCGTTTCACCCTCAAACTTACATTATAAATCTCAGAGCCAAGGTACAAAGCTTCTCCAGAGCTCCTGGCATTCCAAAAGGATGCCAAGAAGCCTTGGAATGGGAAGGGGGGGAACTTTCAGCATTTTTGGAGACACAATGGTGGACAATTGATACCATATTTACACAGTCTTGAACTAGGTCTCCATCTAAACTGCCATGTAATCGAGTTTGAAACTCCATTATACGGTCAGTGCAGGCTCATATAATGTAGCGTAACGGCACTGAACTGCATTATATGAACTGCCCGGAGCATATAATGCAGTTTCAAACTGGATTACATGGCAGTGTAGATGGGGTTAGGGAGAGAGGGACACCTCTGTTGTGTTATGGAAGCTGGGGTGGTTTCTTTTTTTTTCTTTTTTCTTTTGGCTTCAAGTCAACTTTAATTTATTATGGTGCTCCTATGAATGAGATATCTTCATGATGCCTGGCTTTTCGACAACCCTGCTCATACTTTACAAACCCGGGGCCATGGCTTCCTTCATTGAATCAATATATATGAATATAATATGAATTCCTTATTTCCCAAAGTCACCCATTAACAACTACTATTTAATTAATATGTCCTGTAAGATTATGCCCAAAGCGTAATGTCCCAGTTTAGTAGTTTTTCTTCCAGTTGACAGTTCAGGCTTGATTTGTTCTCAGGCTGGATCTACACTGCCTGATACCCCAGGATCTGATCTCAGATTATCTTCTTATCCCAGATTATCTGGCAATGTAGACTCATACACTCCAGTTCAAAGCAGATAATCTGGGATCAGATCCTGGGTTATAGGGTAGTGTAGATCCAGCCTCAGATCTATACATTAATTCTTTTGGCAGTTCAAGTCATCCACAGAACTCAGATGAGTTAGTTCTCTCCCTTTTATTTACTGTTTTGTTTTCATAAGTTTACAAAGAATCTGGAAAAACTATTTGACATTTCACCTGCATCTGTGGGTGGCATGATCAGATGCAGGCGAAACATCAGGAGAGAATGCTACTGGAAAATGACCATACAGCCCGAAAAACCCACAGCAACCCAGTTATTCCAGCAATGAAAGCCTTCAACAACATATTGTATGAATTATTCTGACTTTGATATTTAATGATATACGTCTTTCATAGTTGCCCAATCTCGAACTCACTTCCCCATATCCATGGAACTGATCCCAGATTATCTTCTTATCCCAGATTATCTGGCAATGTTGACTCATATAATCCAGTTCAAATCAGATAATCTGGGATCAGAACCTGGGATATAGGGTAGTGTAGGAGGAGCCTGAGCAAAGATACAGTTAATTGAACCTAAAATGAAAACACGTTCTACCCTGACTCTTGATTTCTTCATCTTTTTTCCTGAATAGGAGGAAGTTGTAATGTATCTCCAAGACTGAGACGAGAATGTGGATGGCCAGGGATATCTCAAAGCACATGCAGAAACAGAGGGTGCTGTTTTAGCGGTGCGATCAGAAATGCCAAATGGTGTTTCCATTCGAGGTTAGTATTTTTGTTAAATATACTTGCATTTTGAAACATTTGACTTTCATTCATTTTAATCAATAATGAACAAGATATTTTCCAAAAAGAAAACAACTGGAAAGAGGATGTATCGTCAGTGATAATGATTATTCAGACAATCAATTAAATTCCACCTGAGTATCAAAGTACTGTACCTGCTGATGGTGAGAGCTGTTGAACAGTGGAATAAGCCACCTCAGAAACTGGTGGTCCCTCTTCACTGGAAGTTTATAAACACATGTTGATCACCTTTTGGGGGGTGCTTTAGCCATGGATTCTTGCACTGACAATGGACTGAATTAGATCGTCCTTGGGATCCTAATTTTGAGATTGCCTACACAAACAAAAAAAAATGTACTCACCTCAAATTCAGCGCTGGCTCATAGATCTTGCCCTGGCTCATAGATCTTACATTCCAGGTTCCTATGGTGTGTTGATCTTTAGAGCATCGGATTCGTCGTTCACCTCCAGTACCGTCGGCCGCTAGCCTTCCTTTCGGCTTTGAGCTAGCTGCGTCATCACATCTGGGGCTAGTTGAACTTATCCTCTGCTCCTCCCCAGTAGCATTTTGGCCATCTTCCGACCTGGGAGTCCCATCTTCCAATGGCATACCGACATATCTCTGGTTGTACTGGTCCATTTAGTTTTCTTGGCAAGGATACTGGAGTGGTTTGCCATTGCCTTCCCCAGGGATCACGCTTGGTCTGACCTCTCTGCCACAACCGTCCCGTCTTGGGTGTCCCTTCACGGTTTCGCTCATGACATCATTGAGGTGCTCAAGCTCCAGTGCCCCGACAAGGCGGTGATCCTTTGCTGGAGTCAGCGCTGGCATCTACATGAAATATTGAAATGTTGTGACTTCTGGTAAATATTTTGAGTCTTTTGACCTTAATACAACTCAAACATACTTTAAGCAAAGCTGGAGGATATTCCAGAGTTTTCAGGAAACTCCACAATAATTCATGGGCTTTGCAACCACCCGGATAGCTGGATCTGGACTATTTTGGCCTATCCTCTGTAAGATGGACACTTCACTATCACATTTTCTCTGTGTTGATCAGTGTATGGGAAGAAGGTGGCTCATGTCCATGTTGCTGTTGCCATTCTCCCTGTGAGCACCTGGACATTGATGTCAGAAGGAAGCACACATGTATCCAGCAAGGAAGGAGAGTCTCGCTTTGCCAGAACTTTGCCGATTGTGCATAGAATCATAGAATAAAAGAGTTGGAAGAGACCTCATGAGCCATCCAGTCCAACCCCCTGCCAAGAAGCAGGAATATTGCATTCAAATCACACCTGACCGTTGGCCATCCAGCCTCTGTTTAAAAGCTTACAAAGAAGGAGGTGGCTTGTTATGATCTTAGCAGACATGACAGGGGATGGACAGGAGCTTGCAAAGAGATTTTTGGCCAGAGGGGAGTTGTGGTCATATCAAATGGACAATGATATAGGTCAGCAAGGGGACAAGCAGGACCATCTGGGTGTATGATCCTGGATTAAGCAGGTATGTATGGATACAGCCGTGATGACTCTATGAAGTTTCTGATAGTTCAGGCCAGATATTCTGTTCCCTAAAATCTCTCTCCCCCCCCTCCCCGCCCTCATTTCTTTCCTTTCAGATGATTGGAATAAATTGAAATTCAGGACTGAACTCACAATGGCAATGGAATCCATGGAAGAGAAAAGATTATGGCATTGCAGTTCATTATTTCCTGCTCTCTAATTCCCCTCCTGCAATTTCTTGCTTTTATTTGTGTGCGATATGAAAGAAATTAGGGTAAATCTGCATTTAATTAGATTTTTTTCATGTCAGAAGCGACTTGAGAAACTGCAAGTCACTTCTGGTATGAGAGAATTGGCTGTCTGCAAGGACATTTCCCAGAAGATGCCTGGATATTTTACCATCCATGTAGGAGGCTTCTCTCATATCCCCACATGAGGAGCTGGTGCTGACAGAGGGAGCTCATCTGCTCTCTCCCCAGATTTGAACCTCCGACCTGTTGGTCTTCAGTCCTGCCAGCACAAGGGTTTAACCCATTGCACCACCAGGGGCTCCTAATTGCACTGAAAACATACTTATTTTAACACACTTACTGGTGGTTTGTGGCAAAATAGGAGAGAGAGTGCTGCAACTCATCATTTTGGGACTTGGTGTCCTCTCGCTCTATTCACAAGTTGAAAATTCTCACAGCCTAATTTCCCTGACACTCGTCTACCCTAAATCTTGATATTTTGTCAGGTAACCTCAGCTTCACAAATATTGTATTAATCTTTTCTACTGCTCTTTAGAATACAAAATGTTTCGCAAGTCCCTCTCCTTGGCTGTACTATCTTTCTGAAAGCTCGTTTTGAATTAAAAAAACATTCCTAAATCATTGTGTATTGTATTCTTTTAAATTCTCTGGGCATTGTTTCATTTTGGATTCTGTTCCAGCTGCCACTGAAGGTCACATGAAACAAAGTTTTAAAGTAGGGGGTGGGAAATGTCATGGGCTGATAGTAGTTACCCTCATGATCCATCTTATGTTTGCTGTCAATTTGCTTAATTTTTGGACTGCTTCCAGATGAAATATTACCTTAAAATAGTTGGGAGGAGGTAGCTGATAGAGACACAGGGTTTCTGACCTACATTGCAACCTTATTGTGTGAATACACTTACTTTGTTTACATTGGAACCAGTTCCTTCCAAGCTTTGTTCTGGTGCAGAGAGGCTACCAAATATGTTTGCCTGCATTGGGTGGTGGCAGCAGGACCAGTCACTGCAAAGTAGAAAGAACAGCAAGGTGAACGTCCAGTGATTCCTGCCACCAAAGAGACACATGCAAAATAATTACTCTCAGCAGTACCGGGGAGGTGACATCAATATAGAGCAAAGTTCCAAGTATTGTAAATGTTATGATGCATGGTTCAATGGTCAGAATAGAGGCTCTGATCCATATCCAGTGGCCCTCCTGTTCTGCCACCAATGACAATGGCTACTTGGTGGGTCTCACTGTGGCTTCTTGGTGGGTCAACCCAGGAGGAATACCCTACTGTGAAGGTATTCCCAATGCCATCCTACATTTATAGAAGTGAATTTTTGGTCAAATTGGATTTTAATCACTGTTGTATACCATAAACTCATTTCCAATGTACAACAATCCTATCACAGGGTTTTCTTCGCAAGGTTTGTTCAGAAGAGGTTTGTCATTGCCTTCTTCTGAGGCTGAAAGGGTATGGCTTGCCCAAGGTCACCCGGTGGATTTCATGGTTGAGCTAAGATTTATATGCTGGTCTCCAGATTTGTAGTCCAACATTTAAACCACTAGA